CTGTATCTATCGATGATTTCTGTGTTGTTTGTTAAGATTTCTCTGGTGATGGTCTGGTTGTGAGAGGAGATTATATGTTCCTTTATGGAGCCCTGCTGTTTATGCATTGTTAATCGCCTGGAAAGAGACGTTGTTGTCTTGCCTATACACTGAGTTCTTTGAGGTTTACAGTCCCCAAGTGGGCATTTGAAGGCATAGACGACGTTGATGTTGAATATGACCGAAAGGGTAAGATTAATAATTCTAACACGAATCTTTTCAATATTTCTTACATTCTTCTTCACTGTCGAAGGTAATTGACAAATTAACTCTCCAAAATTCATTCTTTATTTCTGGTCTGACGCCTTAACACGTTTCGTAATGCTTATTACATTTTCAAAGACTTAGTGTGCACATGAAAATACATCATACTTATACTCATTTTGGGTGAGGTGATATGGCATAAGCGTTTTGGGTGAGGTGACAGAGCTATGGCAGAATACGAATCAATGGGTATAAATGGGTATGAAAATATAAAAAAGGAAGTAACTACAAAAGGCCTATTGGCCCATACTTTTACTGCTTCTTTGTTGGTTCGGAGTCTTGAAGTGGGTAGAATATAGTTAATTTAAATGGCTGCTGATTGCTGGTGTTGACTTTTTGATGTGTAGTGCCTCGCTGATGTCGAGTTCAACCAGGGTTTTACCAACTCCAAGAAATCATTGCCTTAAAAGGATTTTCAGTGATATATCACGCCATTGTGATTTCATTGCGATCTGACTGGGGCGCAAGAATGTGAACTCCATTACCGTAGGTCTGAGTGTGGTCGGGTTGGCTGTAAATACACGAATGGCGCCCCAGTTTGGGGACCCCAGAAATTTGCTTAATATCTTTTGTTAGTATTTTATTAAATTTGTTAAATAAGTATTATTAGCATTTTATTAAACAGTGAATGTTGAAGTTGTACGCAAGGCGCATTAAGTGGTCATATAATAGTATATAATTTATGATCTGTTATAGTTTGGTCGGAGGAAGGAAACAAAAATTCAAAATCATTGGTATTAACATCAACTTGTTTGCCTCTAAGAAACAGTCCTACAGAACGATTTACTCAGTTATAACATGAAAATTGTTCTCAGGAGAAAGTCCCCGGGATTTTTAACAGCATGTACAAAAACTGAAGCGTCCTTATCTAACTTTGTCGAATTACTTACCAACATCTATTTTCTTTCTTGACATCTATTTTCATGTTACAGAGGACCGCCAACCCCCGCTGAAGGAGCATCCTCTTCTAGTGCCCAACGGAGGTCACCATTGGTGAGTATTGGAGATGTCAAACAATTCTTGCTTAATACTCCTAAATGTAATGTCTTCCCTTGAGAGCCACTTTAATCTAGCGGCTTTTTTATTAACATATACAGAGGAGATAACTTAGCTGAAATATTCTTAACAAATTTAAAAAAAAATTGTGATCATTCTGAGAATGATCATTTATATTAAATACCTTGACCTTCACTAAATACCTTGACCTTCACTAAATACCTTGACCTTCACTAAATACTTTGACTTTCACTAAATACTTTGACTTTCACTAAATACCTTGACCTTCACTAAATACCTTGACCTTCACTAAATACTTTGACTTTCACTAAATACTTTGACTTTCACTAAATACCTTGACCTTCACTAAATACTTTCACCTTCACTAAATACCTTGACCGTCACTAAATACCTTGACTTTCAATAAATAGCTTGACTTTCAATAAATAGCTTGACTTTCAATAAATAGCTTGACTTTCAATAAATAGCTTGACTTTCAATAAATAGCTTGACTTTCAATAAATAGCTTGACTTTCAATAAATAGCTTGACTTTCAATAAATAGCTTGACTTTCAATAAATAGCTTGACTTTCAATAAATAGCTTGACTTTCAATAAATAGCTTGACTTTCACTTAATAGCTTGACTTTCACTTAATAGCTTGACTTTCACTTAATAGCTTGACTTTCACTTAATAGCTTGATTTTCAATAAATAGCTTGACTTTCACTAAATACCTTGACTTTCACTAAATATCTTGACTTTCAGTAAATACCTTGACTTTCACTATTTTGTTGCCGCCAAAGGCGGCTAGTTTATTGTGCACCCCATACTCATCCTGTGAGCGGTAGCACAAAAGCATTACAGAGGGCACAAAAGGTCTTTATCAGACCTCATCTTTGATTATTACATAAACAATTTCTTCTATCCTTCACACCTTATAGTTACAATGTCAGCTAGTTACAGAGAAAGTGCTATTACAAGAGTTACATATTTACAGTAAGTCATCATACATTAATGGTAGGTCTTATCGCTAATACATAATAGTTTGGCCAATGGGGATATTACAGAGTCATAGGGGAGCTTCTGTTTATTATTAGTCCTCACAATACACTACTTGTTTCTGAATCTCATATGTCGTTCATCTACTGGAAGCGAAATGTGGGTACAGTGCAAGGATTTCAGGTACTTTATCCATGGTAATAAGATAGGTTGCCATATCATACAGACTGAGCTTAGATTTATCTCTAAATGGCTCAATTTTACTACAATCCAAGATATAGTGTTCGAGTGTGTGTCCCTGTCTATGTCCACACACTTTACACTTTACTTCATCTAGATCCCTATACAAGCCGAACTGCCAGAGATACTTGTAGCCAAGTCTTATACGAGCCGTGACAACATCTGTTAGTCTACTGACTTTGTTACTTGCCCCATACACATGTTTTACTTCACACATTTCATTGTGATGAACAATGGACCTACTAGTTCCAGTTTGCACTGTTCTACTTTCTTTAAATCCATCCAGGAGTTCTCGTCTAATGACACTTTTAAGGGACCTATTTGATAACTCAAGATTCCGTTCAATACTGTCTTTATTTACTGCAGCCTTAGCAAGGGCGTCAACTTTGTCATGTTCCTGCATGCCAATGTGAGGAATCCACAACATTTTTATATGTACCCTCTTGTTAAGTAAGTATTCTTATATATCTACGTCTAGCTTCCAAGACAAGCACATTATTACTTGATTGCAAACTGTTTATTGCTCGTAGTGAGGAAAGGGAGTCAGAAATAATTAAGATGTCTACTTCAGTGTTGCCAATAATTTCGAGTGCTACCAGTATCGCTACCAACTCGGCTTGCCTTGTGGACGCCCAGTTACTAATTCGGATATTTCTTTGAATTGTGCTGCCATCGGGCTGATGAGCAATAACAGCACTTCCTGCGCTCCCTGTAGCTGTATCGAGTGATCCGTCAGTGTATATGGTCTGTGCAATGCTGTTTTCAGCTTGTATATTGTGAATGTGTTCTATTGTGCTTAATTTAGCAGCAAGCTGAGCATGAGGGTTGCTTGTGATTAGTTTCTTTGTGTCCTGGTCTGTGGGGGTTGTGGCTTATGGAACCTAAACCTCCTATGAGAGCTCTGGTTGTTGCACTAGACTGTTAGTTGTGTTCAGGTAGACAACCAACCACTCTCTGCCAGAACAGACAACCGACCTCGGCAGCTACACTCCCGCTACCGTCGGTCGACCAACAATGAACACTGGAATGCTTGAAATTTACTCAGGAGATCACCCTGTGCGCCTCTTGATCTCGGAGAGGGGCTCAGTCTCACACGTTTAGGGGTGCGGCTCCAACACTGGCTTCGTTGTCCTGTGTACACACCCTACTTGAGCCACCGTGACTCCCTGCTCTCTCCTTGTTTGGAATGATCTCCTAAATCCCCCTTTTACGAATTGGTACTCTTTGCAACACTGTCCGCAGCTGTGATCCTTTCTCTCTCTCTCTCTCTCCTGCTTTCTGGGAAGCCTCACCAGGACAAGAGCAAAAGCCAGTTAACAATATACATTTAATAAACATGGAAATAGTACACATTACATAACATTAATAAATGGAACATTATTATACAACACTCTAAGCTGCTACAACCCGGTAGCAATCCAATATCATACCCTGGTCTCACCAACCGTCCTATCAAGTGGCTGCTCAACTCTTGGCTTACCACTTACTACTCCCTCATTAAATGAGGGTGAAATCTCGTCATAACAATATTATACGTTCAGCCCTAAAAGTATATAAACTCAGCCTGTGGTTGAAACACCAGAAACATCTGCATATATATTCCCAACACAAGAAGAAATCACTCTCACCTTACACTGTGTATTACACGCCAATAAGGATTCAAGCACTCCCCTTATATATTCTTGTGTATCCACCATGAACCCCTGTTCTGCTCCTGGAGGCTCACTACCATGTACATCTCTAGGTCCTCCAAAATGTTCAACAAGGCACTTCTGCTGCTCTCCCAAACTGCTGCACGATGAAGTCCTCATCCAACACCAGTGATGCTTCACCACTGATTCCACGGAAACACGTGAAACTCCTCTTCACTGCTCCTTTACACTGCTTGCAGTCCACTCCTCACTATGGAGTTCTGCTCTCCCACAGAATTCAGCATACACTCCTCCAGCCTCGAAGTTCCATTAATTTCTTCCCAAACAAACCTGCAATTCCATTACCATGCCAATTAAAAAGTTTCCCAAACAGAACATAAAGAATACACTATTTCCCAGAATTAAATTTAGCCACCCGACGCCGCACCGCGTCGTCCGACTGTGGTGGGTATTCCCCCAAACTGGACGAGTCCAAGCGAGGGACATGTATTGACACGCCGCCAGGAGCTTCTTCCCGGGCCGCGCTGCTGGCTCCTCCCTGCTCAGTTGCCTCTTCAACACCGTCGAGAGAAGATGTACTGCTCCTCTCTCCAGCATATCATCTGAACTGAAACTCTATATTTCAGCTTACTGCCTCTATAAATTATCTATCCTACATATACATATGTTCATTATGATCGCTGGGCACACGATCAAACACTAGTGGCTAAATTAACAACTGATTAAATAGGTTTACCTCCAAAATTTCTGACGTGAAGACGCTCACTCACGGCAACTAAACATGGCCCGCACACAGGCCGCCCATAAAAATGCTTCAGGACCGCCTCACAAAGCTTCCTGCAATCCACGACTTGAGTCCACAACGTTTCCAGACCGTCTCCACAACAGAAACACCTGCTCACTTCCTTGCTCTTGAAGGTACAACAATTAGTTTCACCAAGGCGTAGCCAAACACTCACTTCCAGGCGCCTCTTATAATCAAATTCACAGAGAGATGGTGTACTAAGTCCCCAACAGCTTCCTCACACTTGCAGACAAGTAGTCTTCACTCCAGCACCAACACAGGGGACTATATTCCTCCTCCTTGCAGGAGATCAACACAGTACATCCACCTCTGATGCCAGTTGCAACTTAAGCGAGGTCAAGATGTCCTGCGAGCCTCTCATCATGCCAGCAAAGTATCGACATCTCATGTCATGTCACTTATTTACATGTTCATCCCCTGCTCATGCCTTTAAACTATTTTTTTTTATCTTTATTTAAAAAAAATACAATATAAATTACATATACATAAGTTTTACAAGGCAATTATACATTACAATTCTTAGTGAACAAGTACCTTGACATTCATTAAATAACTTGCTTTCACTAAATACCTAGACTTTCACTAAAAGTAGTGGTAGTCATGACTACCATGACTTTCACTAAATACCTAGACTTTCACTAAATACCTAGACTTTCAGTATATACCTAGACTTTCAGTATATACCTAGACTTTCACTAAATACCTTGACATTCACTAAATACCTTGACATTCACTAAATACCTTGACATTCACTAAATACCTTGACATTCACTAAATACCTTGATTTTCACTAAATACCTTGACATTCACTAAATACCATAACTTTCACTCTTTAGCCTTCTTACCTTTCTTTACGCCTTGAACAGTATAATTTTTTGACTTAAATATTGATTGACCTTTTCCTCTCTCTTACACCTCGTTCTAACCTTAGCCACACTAGTATCATCAGTTCTAGTAGTATCTACACACTTTCTTCAAGTGTCATTTCAAGTTACACCATTTGCACATTCAAACCTTAAAATGTAGTTTAAAGGTTTGAGTTTCTATATAAGTACAATGTACAATGTACATTGTACTTATAAGTACAATGTATACGAATATAGACATTGTTGTTTATGTTTATTCTAAAGTGTAAATGTATACTGCAATGTATACTGCTGTTTACGAATATAATGTCCTGGGTGTTTGATTTCTCACTAAAAAATGCTCCTTCAAGACGCAAAATTTTTCTTCAGGATGCAAAATTTTCCCAACAAATGTCAATAATGTCACAGTATGATGATCTATATTTTCTACAACCATGTTTGTGAAATATCATTTCACTGTCTAGTGCCAGGAACAGCCGATCCTAAAACCCTTTGATTAAACCGAGTTCCAAAGTTGCCGTTTTTAGTCTATGCCTTTATAAAACTTATACAACAATTGCAATGTTTTCTCTTGCCTTTTCATCCTCTGGTGAAGGATGATAAAACTTCTGCAAATGAAGATTTCTCAGTGTAATAATTAACTGGACGTAATAGCATCTTGGTCTTAAATTTACCCTGTCGTCCATGTAAGTAGATGGAGTCTACCTTTTCATCTACTCTCCTTGCTGTTTGTTTATTCGTTACTACCATTAACGAATTAATCTATATCAATAAAAATGGAAATGTTCGTTTGTTCAAAATCGCTAATCTCCGAAAGTTCTTCACCGATTCCTTTGAAATTTTCACACAACGTTCCATTCGCATCCGGCCAGGTTTATGTATACATACCATATAGATGTCATGTCTGTGACGGTAAAAAGCATGTTTTTTTCTGAAAAACTGTGTTTTTCATTTGTTTTTCATGCTAGAATAATCTTCGAAACCTCTTTACCAATTGCTTTGAAATTTTGACACAACGTTGCATTCGAATAGGCGCGTCTTTCTTATATATCTACTATATACATGCCTCATCTGTGACAGGAAAATACATGCTTTTTTTTAAAAAACAGCTCCAGAATGGTGGGGAGGACGAGGGGACGGTGGAGTGGGGAATGGTGGGGAGGACTGGGCTACAGGGAAGGTTGCTGTGGCACAGCAACACATGAGCCACAGCAACGCGGGGCCGGGTACTGCTAATATATATATATATATATATATATATTTATAACTGAAAACTCACACCCCAGAAGTGACTCGAACCCATACTCCCAGGAGCAACACAACTGGTATGTACAAGACGCCTTAATCCACTTGACCATCACGACCGGACAAAATGAGGTGATAACCTAAGCTATTTGAACCACCCCACCGCCGGCACTCGGATAGTAATCTTGGGCATAGCATTGTGTTTTTCGTGTTTTCGTGTTTTCGTGTTTTCAGTTGCATATTGTCCTGGGGACCATTCAGGCTTGTTCGCATTTGTGTTCCTCACGTGTGCCCCAAAGAATGAGGTGATTTGGTAAAATGCTATGCCCAAGATTACTATCCGAGTGCCGGCGGTGGGGTGGTTCAAATAGCTTAGGCTATCACCTCATTTTGTCCGGTCGTGATGGTCAAGTGGATTAAGGCGTCTTGTACATACCAGTTGCGTTGCTCCTGGGAGTATGGGTTCGAGTCACTTCTGGGGTGTGAGTTTTCAGTTGCATATTGTCCTGGGGACCATTCAGGCTTGTTCGCATATATATTTATATATATATATATATTATATATATATATATGCATATATGCAATTGACGATCACTAAACACTGATCATTTGTATACTGAAAATCCACAGAGAAATGGGGAAAAAAATGAACGTTTCGGCCGATGTTTGTCAACACCGGATTGAGTTCAAATTAACTATTTAAAGAGTAGTTTAAATTATTTAAAGAAAAGAGATGTTTCATACAAGAATTATCACATTGTCCCAATGTGACCGAGTTCTTTCACCACATGTCTCTGATGACCTGAACACTCCAGACAGGAATAACATTTAATCTCTCCGGATCGTGGTGTATATTGAGATGAAATTCTTGCAAAAATAATGACCTCACAAGTATTTGGCTATTTTTTCATCTTATCTATAGCACTTAAGGGATTATGGTCAGTATAAACGTCAACTATATTCCCACCTGTGTTTCTCAAACGTTTCGTAGGACAAGAAAATGCAAATGCTTCTTTTTCAGCTACAGAATAATTGTTCTGTGCTTTGCCAAATGTTTTGGAATGACAGTCACCAAACTGCTCCAGACTGTCATCATCAGGTGGAAGCGAAGGGGAACTATCGGGAGAAAGCGTCAAGCCATTACCACTATTTAGCACTTGGAAGGGGTCAGGATTTGGGATGGGACGGGGAAAAGGAATGGTGCCCAACCACTTGGACGGTCGGGAATTGATCGCTGACCTACATGAAGCGAGACCGTCGCTCTACCGTCCAACCCAAGTGGTTAATAGATCATCAGGTGGAATAGCAATAGATCTGAAGCGTCAATGTTTATTTCATTATTTTATAAGGAAATTGGCTTAAGATCTATTATCAACATTTTAATAACCTCTGAATGTTTAACAGTATTATACACAAACTACTAAGTGGAAATTTGGGAGTAAATAATGTAGGATCTTTTATTGTTTGGGCAGAGGAAGAAAATAAGAATTATCTTGTCCTGTTTATCCAACATAAGCGTTATAGTATTTTGTACAAAACTATAAGATAAATTAAAACAAAACATGAATGATATCATCACATGATCCAAACTTAAAAAAATTATAAATACTACTTCATAACTCTTAATCCTAGCAGATCTTTATTAAAAGTTTGTAAAAAGTTTGGTTTAGTGTTGAGACTTGTAAACTTCTGGAGGGTTATAAAGGTTACCACAGCAGCTTACTGACCAAACACCAAGTATAATTTACTCTTGACCATCGTCCAGGACTAAAGTAAACTCTGTGTATATATATACACCGAGAAGCTGGGTACACCTCTCAGTGTGTATAGTTTACCATCCACAATGTTCCTTAGCTCCTCCCTGTATCACATAATCTGATTATGCTTTTGAAATTAAATGTTTTCAGCCTCAAATGTATATAAATACAGTATGTATCCTCACTGAAGTATACATAACACATTATATCGGTAATCTGTTTTGAAATGATTAGTTTTCAACTAAAGTCATAAATGACCAAATTACCCAGCGAGGTAAACACCACGACTGGTCGTTGTCAGGGCTGACACCACGACTGGTCGTTGTCAGCTGACACCACAACTGGGTGTTGTCAGCTGACACCACAACTGGTCGTTGTCAGCTGGCACCACAACTGGTCGTTGTCAGCTGACACCACGACTGGTCATTGTCAGCTGGCACCACAACTGGTCGTTGTCAGGGCTGACACCACGACTGGTCGTTGTCAGGGCTGACACCACGACTGGTCGTTGTCAGGGCTGACACCACGACTGGTCGTTGTCAGCTGACACCACGACTGGTCGTTGTCAGGGCTGACACTACGACTGGTCGTTGTCAGCTGACACCACGACTGGTCGTTGTCAGCAGACACCACAACTGGTCGTTGTCAGCTGACACCACGACTGGTCGTTGTCAGCTGACACCACGACTGGTCGTTGTCAGCTGACACCACGACTGGTCGTTGTCAGCTGACACCACGACTGGTCGTTGTCAGCTGACACCACGACTGGTTGTTGTCAGAGCTGACACCATGACTGGTCGTTGTCAGCAGACACCACGACTGGTTGTTGTCAGAGCTGACACCATGACTGGTCGTTGTCAGGGCTGACACCACGACTGGTCGTTGTCAGGGCTGACACCACGACTGGTCGTTGTCAGGGCTGACACCACGACTGGTCGTTGTCAGGGCTGACACTACGACTGGTCGTTGTCAGGGCTGACACCACGACTGGTCGTTGTCAGCGCCGACACCACGACTGGTCGTTGTCAGCAGACACCACGACTGGTCGTTGTCAGCAGACACCACGACTGGTCGTTGTCAGCAGACACCACGACTGGTCGTTGTCAGCAGACACCACGACTGGTCGTTGTCAGCAGACACCACGACTGGTCGTTGTCAGCAGACACCACGACTGCTCGTTGTCAGCAGACACCACGACTGGTTGTTGTCAGCAGACACCACGACTGGTCGTTGTCAGCAGACACC